TGATGTTAGGGGAAACTTTTGAATTATTTACACTGATTACGATTATGTAAAGGTTGAAAGGGAGTTTATTGACCTAGTAGAAAGTCTATCAAAATCCTATTATATTTTATAGGATGTTTAGAAAAAGAGAAACTTGATAGGAGTAGAATGGAATAAATCATTGAAACTTGAAAACTTGACAGGTAAGTGATTAACGTCCCAATGATTTGTTATCAAATTTATTTTATTGAAAATATTGCTTTAGCATATTTATATGCCACATCCTCTATTAATTTATATAAATCTTTTAATTTCTTAAAAATAAATGATAAAATGTTTTTATTTAATCTTACATAATGGTTTATGATTTTAATTTTATCATCAATGATTGAATTTGGAAATATTTTCTACATAAACGGATTTTATAGGAATATTTGGGATCATTTTCTTTAATTGAATATCTGAAGGTGATTACTATGTTGTTATATATGTAAGAGAAATCATATTGATTTTATAAACTTGTACATTCTTATTTAAATTGTGGGATTGAATCATAACACTAGTTGCTAATGACTGTTTCGTTAGCCCTTGACACACCATGGGACACCTAGCTAGCAGAGTGTTTAGAAGGTGCTAGCCTCATGTGACAACCAATGCATGTGAAATGGAAGGATGATAATTCATGAACATAATACTCACGCTTGATTTCATGGGCCTTATGTTTGCACTTGATTTCATGAACTTTGTGCTCGCGCTTGTTTTCGTGGCTTTGAGCCATGCTTGTCAGTTCTATACCCTTATAGACTGTATGTCCATGCTTGTTGGTTAGTTTCTTTTGTGAATTTTGTGTCCACACTTGCTAATTGTTTTGATAAAGTCCTACTAAAGAAAGAGTTTTTAAATTTATTTTTCTTAAAATTCCAAATTTTTTTTTTATATATAAAGCAAACAATCCTCTCTACTTTATATGGATTTTTAAAATTAGCTCCATAATTCTCCAGTATTTAAAGCATACTTTTAATATTAAAAGTGGAATTTGAATTTTAAATTATTTTTTAAAATTTATAAATTCATGGTTTATACATTTTAAGGACTATTGATCTATGATATATGCATCTATGTTATTTTAATTGATTATCCTATTAAGTTTATAATTGATTCATCAATGTTCTTTATTTTAGTTCCTACAACTGTAAATCGAGATGTTATTCACTGAAAAATTATTGTTGGTCTCAAATCCATTAACTGACATTGTACCTCTTGTTGACCTCTAAAGGGCCTATAGTTGTGCTGGATGGAGATTTACTTAGAAATTATTATCATCTTTGTATGTAATTATAAAGCTTATGTATTTCATTTTTAAACTATGGCTAAGTACTTCACATAAATTATAGTTAGGATCCTCGTCTTGATTAACCATTATTTGTCTGTCGACTAATAGGAACAGAGCTCTTTATGGTTGTTTGCTTGATATATATGTGTGTGTGTGTGTGTATTGGTAAGATCTAATTTTATATTAAATACATTCACAATTTATAATTAAAAATTTCTTAAATTAAGGTTTAAGGCATGCAAGTTTCTACAAATATTCCTTATGAACCTCGCCTAATTTTTGCGACATGACAACTTGGCTCTATGGGAGGGTTTGGCCAACTCACGCTTCCTATAGAGAACTTGAAGAACATTAAAGGCTAAACCACTTTGGGTGTTTGGAGAAGCATGAAAGATCAATGAACTATTTGGGTCTTCAATTTTGTAACCTTTTTATTTTTCTCTTAATTCTTTTCTATTAATAGACTTGTAAGACTATAATTTTGGATTGTTATGCCTTGACTTTACAATCATAATTTTGGTTGATATTTTTGTATGGAGATTGATTTGATTAATGTTGAATTTTTGAATTTCGGCCACTTTAATATATTTCATAATCTTGAATGTTCTTAAATATTTTAATCTTACTTCTACTTCATCATAATCTTGGAGAGTGTTTGTTGGACTTGCTTGTGATCCACCATGATTTTGGGATGTTAAGGGTTGAGCATATGCTTGTTGGAATTTACCATTAGTCACCTAACTATGGCCTAAAACTAAATTAAGGAGTTGAATTGAACTTTAGAGTCCTAGACTTAATTAAGGTCCCTAATGAAGTTAAGTTGCTAGAGAATTATCCTAGTGGTTTCATAATTTGGTTAGCAAGAGAAGAATTAAGGGTGGTTAATTTACATTTCATAAGTGGTTAGAATTTAAGCATTAATCTAATTTCAAGTACCATGTTCTATCCCAATTTCACAAACTTGCTAGTTTAGGTCTTTAGGCTTTAATTATAGTAATTAGTGTTTTAGTTTTAATCAATTAAAATAAATCAACTCTTGAGACTTTTATTTTAACTTAATTGCATTAAAAAGCTCTGGATTTAATCTTTGAACACATCTTTGGTAGATAATCTAGGCTGTCGCTATACTAGATTGTTAGTTAATCTAATTTAAATTGCTAAGTATGCGACCATTTGGTTCAATTTTTAACACTTAAATTAAACATTATCCCCCATGTTTAAAGATAGTAAAACAAAGAGAGAAGGAACTAAAACTCCCCTAACTGACAAACTTGGCAAGTTGTAGACGAAAAACTTTGATTGGGAGATGAAAGTTATATATTCTCAAAAGAATACGGCACTTACTAATCGTATTAAAAAGACAAATGGATAAGTTGTAGACGAAAGATTTATATACAGACCATCAAGAAATAAGTTATGAATTATCAGTTACAACCTTAAGAGAACAAGGGCCAAACTGAACAATCAAAGAAAAAGAAAAAGAAAATCTAACAACAAGAGAAAAAATAAAGTTCCATTAAAATAAAAGCTCAAGTCAACAACAAGAATAGCAAGAGAAGGAGGTAATAATTGAGCTTGAAGCTCAAAGCTTGGTACATTAATTCTCTTCCACTCTTCCAGTTATTTCTCATATAGAATTCAATTATTGTTTCATGTAGATGGATTAACTTTTATTTGATGATACTAATTGATTGTAATTGTTTGATGTCTGCCCTTTCTTAGCCATCCAACTATGAGCAACATGTCATCCATCAACATATAACAAGGTAAGTGTCACCAAACATCATAAAATAGAAGGGAAAAATTCATATGGAAATGGCTATAATAGTATGTCATTCGTTAGTACACAAAGTTTTTTTTTTTTCAATTTGAAATTCAAAATTTCATATATGCTCAACAACAATCAACCAGAATTCTTAAAGCAAAAATCACAGTATCTTGAGTACCCATCCATAAGAATTAAACAAAATATTCTAAATATTAAATTTACCATAAAAGTAGAGCATAGAGGCAGTTCAAAGCACAAACCCAACACTATATAATAAAGCATTTAAAATTTGAACAAAAAAGGTTCACTCAAAGTTTAGAGCATAAATCAAACAGCATTCATTACAACCCTCGCTGACCTAGTTGAAGCTAGCATACTTTAAAACAGCAAAAAAGAGTGGGTTGAAGAACTTACCCAACCGGAGCACTCACACAAAGAACTCACAAGGTGGGTAAAGGAGAAGTCTCAACAAATAGTAGTTCTGAAAGGGAAACAAAATAGTAACAAGTGCGAATGGATTGATCACAGTTGAATACGATAGAGTGAAAAATTTATTATAAACTCCCATTAGGGTAGGAAGTAGCCTTGATTGGGATAGATTTTGCTTTTTCATTTGGTTATTTATTTTTCTATTGAACTCAATGTCTTGTCTATGAGATTCTAATGTTTTGATTTATATTTATCTCTCTCATTTTAATTATTCATTATATTATATCAACAACCGCTATATAGATTGTCTGTAGGTAGTTTGATGAATTAAAAGGTGAAAGACTTACTTAGATTTAGAAAGATAGATGCAGATAACTAAATTAAAAATAATTTAAGAATCTATGATGGCTTAGATCGTAGCTTCATGCTTTAGTTAGTGAGTAGAATTTAGTGAGAGCTAAAGTTAATTATGATTAAATACATCCTAATATACCAAAAGGTAATTAGGACACTTAAAAATAGTTGTCACCATTAAAATAATTAACTGAATTAGAATAATCTGTCTTGATAGGTGAGTTATAATTCTTAGTGCTCATTTGATTGGTTATTTCATTGTTTTTATCACTTTTATTATTTTTTTGTCTACACATTATTTAAATTAATTAACCATTGTAAAACTACCTTTTTTTTTTGTTGCTTTCATGAAATAACACTTAATTGCTTTCCTCTAGATTTGGCGCTTGGTATACTTTGAAATTTATTACTACATTAATCTTATGCACTTAGGAGGCCAATCAGACACCCACAGGACTTGGATTCTACATTAAAATTATTCATCATTTATTAAAATTTTATACTCTAAAATATAAAATGTTTTCAACTATTATGTGATAATATTAAATTTGTCAATAAAAAAATTACTGAAATGCTAATATTTCAAAAATTAATATTTGTTTTGATTCTATAGAGGTTATAGCACTCATTGATTGCAACATCAATAATAGCTATCCTCTCTCAGCAATCAACAAAAATATCAAAAATTTCATTATGAAGAACTGAGAGATTACTTATGATCATATCTGCAAAGAAACTAATCATTATGCTTATTCTCTGGCTCACAAGGCTTTAAGTGAGCATTTTAATATTACTTTATTTAACAATCCTTCCATAAATTGTAGAAGCATTATGACTTTTAACATGACCTAAATTTAATCTTTTTGCATAGTTCTTACTACCGCCTTGTATTAAAAAAATTATCAAAAATAAAAAATAAAAACAACTCAAGATTCTATTTTTACTCTTATTAATTAAATGAATGTAAACATCATAAAACCTCCATTTTATTTTTTCACTGATCAATCTACAAAATCTTTCGTTAAAAGTTTGAGGATAAAAATAACTAAAAAAAATCATTAGATAATATTACGAACACATTATATTATATATTAAAAATATATTTTAGAAGACACTCTAATTAGAACTTGAGGCAAATTTGCAGTTAATGAAGATGTGTATCATATCATGCCCCCATGCATATGTAAATATATCTTTTTTTGTTTTAATTTGATTGGAAATGCTTAAACATAGTTGGTTTTTTGTTTTGTTTTGGTGAATTGTTTAAATATAATTGTTAGTGCTGTATCCACTAGGGAGTCCAGTCAATTCAAAAAGTACCTTTTTTCTGAATTGATAAACAATTGCTTTATAGTTCGTTCTCTGCAAAGCATTCTATGTTCACAAAAACGAAAAGGAAAAAAAGTGAGGAAAACATAAAAGTCCAACACTTCCAATAATGCAAGAGATGACTAATTATTACTTATCTAATTGCAGTATTTAACGAATTAGCCAAAAGAAATTAGATAGAGAGAGAGAGAGAGAGAGAGAGAGTTGTAGTACAGTTCTCTCGGCTTGGCCTTGTTGCCCTACACACACACACACACACAATGGTTTTTAAGTGACCATTAAAAATGGATGCTAGAGATCGTGTTTCCCTGTTCATAAATATAGTTCTCTAACGAATAAACATTTATGCTTTTATTTGAATAAAGACAACCTGCAACACATCGAAAGCCAAATTCGTGTTAGTGGCATGAAGAATGAATAATAATGATCCACATGAATAAATAAATAAATAAATTAGTGCCAACAAGGTAGAAAATAGAAGCAGTATCTTTTATTATTATTATTATTTCACAAAATGAATGGGTTGTCTATTTCTTGGTAAAAAACCTATTCGCAATCTAATTTAAATTATTTTGCAGAATTGAAACTTCCAGTATGCTAAAACACAGCATCCAAAGTCTATATATTCAATTCAAACAATCAGCATCAAATGTAGACGGTTCAAATTACATTAAACAGTCCTTTCAGACGTACATTTGAAATTTTAATATTTTTATTATTTCAAAAATGTAAAACACATGATAAAAATAACATTATTGTAATTTAGAAAACAATGCTTAAGTCTAAAAATAATTAAAACCTTAGCAATCCAAATTTGTCAGAGCAGTAACACAGTAAAACACAATTAATACAATCCTACTATAGTCCAACATTAATTTAGAGGCTTGATTCAACTCCTTTAAACATATGAAAATTGATTTAATTCTTGCTTTTCTATGGATGAAATATTGATCATAGTTCTTATAACAAAGTAGATAAACTAATTAATTACCCAAGCCTGAGAGACTTATCAGAACTACCGCAGTCTTGAGGAGGATTAATGTCAGATGAACTGCAAATGATGATGGACTCAGAAGACTGCCCTTGTTCATGCACAAGGCTCTGTACATATAAAGCTCAAGTGTATGCTTGGGTTAAAAGACTTTCAATTCGTAACATCTGAAAAGAGGCAATAATTTAAGGATAAGAGTATGAAAATCTGCGATCACCTGCTTCATTCTTCGGTTTTCTTTCATGAGTTGGATTCCCTGTACATGAAAGTCAAACATATTGTAGTAGCAAAGAAGGTGACTGAGAGTGTACGTGGAACATTGTTAGTGTCATAAAAAGCATCACTTGGGTTTTTCTTGAAATTCATTGTGTGAAGTCACATACATTTGTCTGTTAGAATGTGGATCTGAATCTTCTCATCGTGAGAAATTTTCAGATTATATAGTGTCGTGTGAAGAGAAGAGCAAGCATCAAATCTCTTGGAATAACCCCGTCTTGCGAAATCTACTACTCAAAATGGGTTTCTCAGAGAACTGATCATTCAAGTATAAATACTCGTAAGTGAACTTTGTGCGTATTCCGTTTCATTCGGTACATATTATAAGACACTTTCTCTTTTTCTTTTTTGAAGAATCATGTTGAAAAAGATAACATATATTCAATCTTTTAAGGTGTAACTAATATGATTTTTCAAAAATGCCCTTAATTAAGGATGCAATTAATAAGGTCTTCTAACTAAGGCAACTTATCAAATAAAGTAAACATAGAAAAATGTGTAATTTTAATAACATTAATTAAATGGAGAGTATAAATTAGTTCAAAGTGTCTTATTATTCTGAACGAAGATTATAGAAAGAGTGGTATACGCATTGATTTCACAAACATTAATTGAGTGTCCTAGGCATATTCTTTTATGCATTTCACATGCATTAATTTGTATGTCAGCACCTCACTCATTGAGAAGATTCAGATATTGTTTTTTGACTAATTAAATAGAGGCTACATTCACAAAAATGAAGTTTATAGCTCTAGTCCAATCAAATGAAGGATGCTTTACGTTTTAAGAGTTTAGGTATTAATTGTCTTTTCTTGTGAGGGGAAAGTACCAAATTTACTTAAGAAACAAGAAATGGTGATCCCAAGAAAACAAATGAATCTAATATTCAGCCATCACTCTCTATTTTCATGTTTTTCTTAGTGGGGCTAATCACTAATCCCTGTTTGCTTGGAAGGAAACGGAAAGGACGAGGGAAGAGAACTTCTACTGAATTCAATTAAAAAGAAATGGAGAGGTGGGGTTATAAAATTTTGAGAATTTTGTAAATTAAAAGAGTAAGCGAAATTAATTAAATTTTTTAACCCCACTTCTCCATTTTTGTACAAATCAAACTCCTTAGAATCTCACATTCCTTCCATTTCCCTCCAGCCAAACAGATAAATAAGAACAAGGGGAATGAATGTGGTTGCTATAGTATAGATAGACTAAAAGAGTAAAGTCAAGTAGTTTAAGATCAAACTCCTCAATGGTTTTGTTTCCTCCAATTGTAGAAAATTATACTTTCTACACTGGTTTTTACATTAACTGGTGTAAAAAGTGCTTCCTCTGATTTTTTTTTTTTTATCTTCTCTAAAATAAATTATAACATCGGTCCCTTCTGCAATACTGTGATTTTTATGTTCGGAACTACTTCAAGTGACTTAAATGTATTGAATACACTTCAGTAAAATTGACTTAAGTGTTATAATGAGATTTCCTTTTACAAGCCACTGTACCCATCAATATTGCTTATATAGACACACGCGCGCACACAAAGGATCAAGTGGTGATCAGTTGATAAAATTCGAATAAATTCATAGATCCTAACAATATTTGGGGCGCACGCGCACATATATAGCAGATCCTAAAATTCTATGTTTGGCAGAGTATTTACCTTTTTCTTGAGTGCATTGATCTGTATTAAGATTCTTTCATCCTGAAACAATAATCATAATAAATATGTAAACCCAAGAGCTTGAATGCAATAACTACTCAAAATCACAACTCATAAAGGTATAGGATAAGGAAGAGAACAAGCCAATTTCTTCACAAAGCGAAGGATACCTAGCAGTTATAATCACTAAACTAGATATTTTTTTGATGCACAGTAAAGGCATTCTTTTTAAATTAGAAAATGTGCGCATCAGGAAGATTGTACATCAGTAATAATGTAGGTTATAAGAAATCTACTGAATCTTGTGAAAGAACATTAAAAGATATTATTGAAAAAGAAGTCATAGGGCAAAATGTAGGAAGTCACATTATTCATAACATAGCATGTGAATAAGGTGAGGTGAGTTCTCCTACAAATTTACGAGATATAGTAACTATTGATTCATGATTGATGAAAAGATATTATATTTCTTCTACATTCAATTCCTAAAACTAAATGAAGAATGAAATTAATAGCATAAAGGAATCCTAACACTCTTAAAGTTTGACCTTTAGGCTGGTTTGGCCTACAGAAAGTATAAAAATGGAATGGAATGCAATAATAACCATAAATTTATTTGGTATGATACTGAAAATGACGGAAGAAAATTATTTTTTATGTTTCAATAAAAATAAAATCAAACCAATCGAAGTTCCCAAAAGGGGAAAAATCCCCATTATAGATCCACAGATGCTGTTAGAGGAAATGATGTAATTCAAGCATTTGGGAACCAGGATTGATCACATTTTTATGGAGAATTTTCCTTCCACAAGTCTGGTAATGAGACTCTCCATGGGATTAGGATTCATACAACTAAAAACAAACCAAACACTATTTCTTGGAACGCAATCGAGATTATTAGGAATTAAGTTTCCAAGAATCCAATCAAACAAACCCTTATTAAAATGAATAAACTTCTATGCAGAATACTAGTACAATATATTTTCCTTTCTTTGTATATACAATATAAAATTTTCATAACACAAACTATTATTCTTCCAATCCCAAAATGCAAGTTACTTTTAAATATTTTACCCAAACCAAAATAGCCTTACTAAAATGCAATCTCATATTAGTGATATGATCTCAATATCTCAGAGAAATTAGGGAAAATTTAAAAACAAAACATTAAATGCTCATCCATTATATAAAATGGCTTACGTTTTGAGTATCCTAATAAATCTTCTAAAATGTGACTTACATTTTGGGAAGGAGAGGATCCTACTCCATTTCCAAATATAAAAGAAAATTAACCAACTCATATAGTTTAAGAAAGTTAGTTAAGTATAATAATTATGTCTGAAACTAGAAACATTATGACTAAATTATCCCTATAGTTTTGCATATAAAAACACAATATGACAAGTTCTCTTATAATAAAAAAACGGAGGGAGTATTATTTTGCAAAGAATTTGACAAACTTTAGAGAGGATGAAGATTGAAGCATAAAAAGGATCAAATCGAAACCTTTGTTTTTGAAAGACGGGACAAGCCTCTTTCAAGTCTCTCCTCTAGCGTCTGCAATTCTTCAAGTGTGCATCCTTGAAGCTCTTCCCCATTCAGCTGCCTGTTGAATTTAATTTATAACGCAAATCACCATGCGTCTCAGGAACAAAAAAATCTTGCGAACATTCATGCATGGTATGTGTAGTATAAAGTCGTATACCTCAATTCATGAGTCTTTTGCGCTACTACCTTCTGCAGCTCGTTCTCATCACCTTCAAGCTTGTACATATTTCAAGGGGGTAAAAAACCAAATGAAAGATACAAAAAGACTCGAGAAGATTAGCCTATCATGATTTAATTTACATTACTTCATATATTATCATGAATTGATTTCACCATTATGTCACTTCTCAAAGCAACTCCGCCTATGTTTATAGCCGGTCCCAAGCCCGGGTAAAGGAGGAGGGTTGTGTTAGGCCATCAACAGCCAATGTAAAAATTTGTTGAATCTATCATGAACATGGACAATAGACGTTATAATGTTAATGCTAGGTCGTTGCCCGTAAGTAACGCGCTGCATGGCTCGAGTACAGTGATAAGTGAGTTAGAGCCGCTGCATCGGCGCCCGGATGTAGTGTTAAATGAGCAAGGGCTACCGCGTCATTCTGGACGCACGCGGCTAAAGAAGTTAGTCCATAAGAGCAAAATTAGATTTGGTACTTGGAATGTTGGGACATTAAATTGTAAATCTGTAGAGGTTGTAGGGGTTATGATTCAAAGGAAAATCAATATCCTTTGCTTGCAAGAAACAAAATGGCGTGGAGAAGAAGCTAAGGATATTCAAGGTTTCAAACTTTGGTATACAGGAAAAGTAAGTGCACGCAATGGAGTAGGCATCATTATAGATAAGGAGTGGAAGAAGAACGTTGTAGAAGTTAGCAGAATTGGAGACAGAATTATTTCTTTAAAAATGATAATTGGACGTGAGACTGTTAATATTGTTAGCGCTTATGCGCCGCAAGTCGGGACAGAAGCCAGTCTTAAGGAATTATTTTGGGAGGATCTGGAGGGGTTGATTCGACACATACCACAGAGTGAAAAGATTTTTATTGGAGGAGACTTTAATGGGCATGTCGGGAGGGAAGCTGGTCAGTATGCGAGGGTGCATGGTGGTTTTGGTTTTGGAGAGCTAAACAATGAAGGGCAAACTCTTCTTGATTTCTCATTGGCGTATGATTTTAAGATTGCCAACACTTGTTTCAAGAAGAGAGATGAGCATCTCATCACCTACAAAAGTGGAGCCTCAAGGTCGCAGATTGATTTTCTTTTGGTTAGGAACACAGATAGAAAACTTTGTAAAAATTGTAAGGTGATCCCTGGAGATGCTGTAACGACACAACATAGGGTCCTAGTCCTTGATGTGTGTATTATGAGTAAAATCCAAAAACGTCGACAAGTAGTAACACCAAGGATTAGGTGGTGGCAATTAAAAGGTGAGAAGCAAGATATTTTCAAGCGAAATCTTTTGGATAAAGGAATTTGGGATTCTCAGGGAAGTGCTAACATCATATGGGAGGATATGGCTAAAAAGATACGGGAGGTTGCAAAAGTAGTTTTGGGAGAATCGAAAGGTCTGGTCCGAGAGATAAGGAGTCTTGGTGGTGGAATAATAGTGTACAGGACAAAATCAAGTATAAGAAGAACTGTTTTAAAGCCATACATTTGTGTAACAATGAGGAAAATTGGGAGAGGTACCGTATGGCTAAGAAGGAAACTAAGAGAGCTGTGGGTGAAGCTCGTTCTAAAGCTTTTGAAGAATTTTATAAGAACCTTGAGACGAAGGAAGGAGAGCAAAATATTTATAAGATTGCCAAGAGTAGGGAAAGAAAATCAAGAGATCTAGAACAGGTAAGGTGTATTAAGGATGAAGAGGGAAGAATTTTAGTTACAGATGATGAAATTAAAAATAGATGGGAGACTTATTTTTCTAAACTTTTCAATGATGGAGAGGATTCATCTAGTAACTTGGAGGATTTAGTAACTGGTGAAGGAGAACAAAATTTGTCATTCTATCGAAAAATACGTGATAAGGAGGTAAAGGAAGCTCTTAAGAAAATGGCAAATGGTAGAGCTAACGGACCTGATTGTATATCTATCGAAGCGTGGAAATGTTTAGGTGAAGAAGGGGTGAGATGGTTAACTAAGTTATTTAATGTGATTTTACGGTCCAAGAAAATGCCTGATGAGTGGAGGAGAAGTACATTAATTCCTATTTATAAAAATAAAGGAGATATTCAGAATTGTACTAACTATAGAGGGATTAAACTCATGAGCCACACAATGAAATTGTGGGAGAAAGTAATTGAGCACAGGTTGAGATTGGAGACAAGTATTTCTGAGAATCAATTTGGTTTTATGCCAGGTAGATCAACTACAGAGGCGATTTATCTACTAAGGGGATTAATGGAAAAGTATCGTTGTAAAGATAAAGATCTACACATGGTTTTTATTGATTTGGAAAAAGCTTATGACCGTATACCAAGAGAAGTGCTTTGGAAAGCGTTGGAAAAAAAGGGAGTACGGATTGCTTATATTAAAGCCATACAAGATATGTATGAGGGGGTAAAAACTAGTATAAGAACGCCTAGTGGTCAAACAAAGGATTTTCCTATAAAGATTGGGCTACATCAGGGATCATCTCTGAGTCCTTATTTGTTCAACTTGATTTTAAATGTTTTGACGGAACATATTCAAGAGGAAATCCCGAAATGTATGCTCTTCGCGGATGATATAGTTCTTATAGCAGAGACAAGAGAAGAGGTTAATTGCAAACTTGAGTTATGGAGGAGGACATTGGAGTCGAAAGGTTTTCGTCTGAGTAGAAGTAAGACGGAATATTTATATTGTAAATTTGGTAAAGGACTATTCGAAAATAATTTGGAAGTGAAATTGGGAGATCAAATTATACCTCAAGTGGAAAAGTTTAGATATTTGGGAGCCATTATTCCAAAATGATGGCGAAATCAGTGGAGATATTTCACATAGAATTCAAGCTGGGTGGTTTAATTGGAGAAAAGCTAAAGGAGTTATTTGTGACCGTAAGGTGCCTAATAAACTTAAAGGAAAGTTTTATCGTACTGCTATCAGACCGGCAATGTTATATAGTAGTGAATGCTGGGCTCTAACGGGACAGCAAGAGCATAAAGTTGGAGTAGCAGAGATGAGAATGTTACGATGGATGTGCGGACATACACGTAAAGATAAAATTCGAAATGAGCACATACGTGAAAAAGTGAGGGTGGCACCTATTGAGGAAAAAATGGTAGAAAATCGGTTGAGATGGTTTGGGCATGTACAAAGAAGACCAAGGGAGGCACCAGTGAGAAGAGTGGAACATATAACTTTGAGTCCGATTAAGAGAGGTAGAGGAAGGCCTAAGAGAACACTCTTGGAAGTTGTTGAACGTGATCTCTTAATTAATAATATTTCTAAAAGCTTAATAAATGATAGAGCACAATGGCGTCTTGCAATCCATGTAGCCGACCCCACCTAGTGGGATAAAGGCTTGTTGTTGTTGTTGTTGTTGTTGTTGTCACTTCTCAAAGCAATGCTCCTTTTAGCTCTCCTGTGGAGCTAATTTAGGACCTAGGGTTTTCTGTGTAGGGCAATTCAGTTTCACTTTTGTTCATAATTTAGGAACCTGATCAAATCTAGAAGAGGAAATATCTTCAGGGGGAGAGAGAGAAGAAAAGGAAGTTATGGACAACAAGTTACAAAGAATCGAGAGGGAGGGAATTATAGGCATGATGAACTTAATTTCTCAGCGAGTTTAAGTCTTCTAAAGAAGCAGATCCTTTTTTTTTTTTTTTTGTATTGCTAAGAAGTGTTCCACTAGTGGAGGTAATCATGTTCGAAGCATAGCCAGACATTAAATGTGAATCTTTCCCAACAAGAATTCAAACCTAGATTTGCCATGTTGTGAGGGACTAACTTCTCCTGCTAGATCCAACCCCCGTTACTAAAGTGGATCCTTCGTCCCCCCTCCGGTTCATTTGGTAAGTGTTTGTTTAGTAATACAGTAGTCAAATTCCATGGTCAATTAAATAAGAAATCTTTTTCTTGGGGGGGGTTGTGCAAGTCATAATTTAGAGAAACTACAAGGAGTTGAGTATGTTATCCAAAATAGAAAAGAAAAGAAAAAAGTCAAGTAAACAGGGTAGGCCGCGTATGTTGATTTGCACAAAACATTAGATAAGGTATATTGTTAACAGCTAATATATAGCACAACTCTCTATAAATATAAATATATTGATGATTGATATTAATCCATTGATTACCTGCAGATTAACAGATGATTTGCCTTGTATTTGAATGGCTGAATGTTGATCATACCTTTCTATAACCTGCTGAATACTGAAACCAACAAAAACAGTAACTCATTTGAGTGCCTTTATCCATTTTATTCCTTGAAATCAGTTAATGCAAAAGATCATATAATTAAGCGCATTTTTATATATGTCAAAATAAATAATGAAATTCCTCAGAATCCCAATGGTTTTACTCAGAGCCTTCAGCTGCGCGGCTACTAATCATGATTCAATTACTTCATCAAATCCATAAAAATATTTATGAATTTGTTGACCTAAGTTATTACATAACAGAAACAGCAGTACTAAAACGCATACATTGCACTTTAAGGTTAGAATAAATAAATAAAGAAGAATCATGTAGATTCTAACTAGTGGTCAATTTATAATTCTAACCCCTTGAATTCAACTTAAAAGAGGAAGGATCATGGAGTTAATAACAACAGTTACAAAATCTTCTCATCAACTGGATAAGAAATGCTGTATTATCAGATTAAGAATTTATACAATAAAAATCAAAACAAATGCTCCAAGCTAGCTAGATGCTAATTGCAAATACACACACACACATACATTGATGATATAGTAATATTAATGATTACTCATACAGTTTCACATTGCATTCTTGAATCAATCACTATGATATCTTAGAGAATTAAATATCATGTATATATGTGTGTTAGTCTCTCTGTGTGTGTAAGAATGAAATTGAGAGTAGTGATAACACACACACACAGATATATATATATAATATATATATATAAGAACCTTGAGCTAGCATAATCAAAGAGCTTGCCGGTGGAAGAGAAGACCAAGAGGGCAATGTCAGCATCACAGAGAATTGAGAGTTCATGTGCCTTCTTGAAGAGACCTCTCCTTCTCTTTGAGAAAGTCACTTGTCTTGCTGTTACGTTGTCTATTTTCTTTATCGGTATCTTCCTTCTCGTCATTCCCCCTCTTCTTCATCCGCAACACATGGTCATTATATACAGTAAATTATACAGTCAAAAATTACATTACATATACATAACTATCATCAGAATCAAAGTGGGGGTAAAACTGTGCTTGAACTGGTAAATAGAGAGGCTATACGTAGAGTAAATCAGGTTGGTTTCACATGACAGAGAAAGATCTACAATGAACTATTATTATTATTCTTCACAAAATCCAAGTTTCCACGAAGAACCGACAGATCAAAGATGACAACCGGGAAAGAAGTGAGGAAATGATGCTTTTGTTGATAAATTAAACATATAAACTAATAGCAAGAAATAATTGAAAAAAGTCCAATATACCGAACTAAGGAAGAAATTTCCAACTCAACAATCAGTTCAAAGTTTAGAGTACTTTGAAGTAACTTCTTTGCAACAAAATTAGGTAAGAGAAACTCAGCTATCAGTAGATGAAAAATGGAACGCGAGAAAGGGAAAAAAAATTCAAATGTTTCAAAATGAAACTCAAACCAAAATTTATTGAGGCTAGATGAAGGAGAAGAAGAAGCAGGAGAAGCAGAAGAACTAAAGATAAAGCATTTTCAGAAGAAGGAAAGTGAAACCGAAGCTCCAGAAAACAAGGAATCCAACCTGGTAGAGATTGAAGAGTCTTATGTCATGAATATCCCAGCCTTCTCTCTTTGTTTCTTTCTTTTATCTCTTCCTCAGCTTTCGCTGTTCGTACATTAATGGCTTTTCAAAGGAAGTTAATATATATGCCTTTTTTTTTTTTTGGCCTTTTATGGGCAAGTTGATGTTTCCGCTGTCGCCACTATTTTAATTTCACATTTTCCCCTTCTCTGTTCTCTAACATTTCACCGTCATTTTTATAGAGAGAATGATAAGATAAATTTCTTTAAAATAAAAAAATTGATAATTCAGTCTCATAAAATATAATAATTAAAGTGATGTTTTCAGAAATTTTTTTAAAATTAAATTTTATATAAAATTATTTTAATACCCTCCATAATTTAGAAAGCTGTAATTTCTTAAGTCATTTTAGTTATTAGTAAAATTAAACTTGTAAATACTTAGACTAAACTTATAAATAATATAAAATTAGTTGAACTTTGATAATAGAAAGTTATAATTTTTTATATTATTTAATCACTCATGGAATTAAATTTATGAATATTTATTTTAAATTTGTAAACTATATAAAATTAGTTAAACTTTACTAATTAAAAAAATTACTGATAAAAAGTCGTGATTTATCTTAAATTATTTAGTTATTGATAAAACCAAATTTGTAAATATTTATACCAAATTATAAACCATATAAAATTAGTTGCAATGGTACTACAGTAATTTTACACAAAAATTTAATCTTAAAGAAGGTCCTTATAATTATCAAATTTTGCAAGACCAAATTGTCATCTTTTTTATTTCAAAGAGATTATCCATTATTTTTCCATTTCCTATCCTGTTTTGTAATAGAAATAATGGATATAATTTTATTTTTTTAATTATAATTTTTATTTTGTGAATTACAAAAATTAAATTAAAAATCACAGCTTTTCATACAATTTTTTTTTAAGTTTGATAAATAAATTTTAAAAATAACTAATCCCAATCATAACTTTTATTTAAACAATCACAACTTTAATTTTTTGAATCGTAAAAATTGAACAAAAATTTATAAATTTTCATTTGAAATTTCTTTTATTATTAACATTCAAGTTTTGAAAATAAGTAATTATAATTTTTATTTAAACAATCACAATTTTTATTATACAAATAGTAAAAATTAAATAAAAATTACAAATTTCACAAAAAATTTTTATCATTAAAATTCAAGTTTTGAAAATAAACAATTATAATTTTTTTTAAGCAATCACAAATTTTATTTTAAATTATAAAAATTAAATAAAAAATTATAACATCTCATATGAGCCAGTTACTTTTTTATCTTAAACAAGGGATAACTTAGTCATTTAATTTAAAATTATTAATATCAAAAAATACCTAGAAACTTTTAAAAAGTATACTCCCTTATCTAGAAACTTTTAAAAAGTATATTTCCTTTATCTCAAATTATAAGGTACTTTTAAAGGAGTTTCACTATTTCAAAATATGAGACACTTTGTGTATATTAAGATTTTATTAAATGCATCAATTTCAATTTTACTCTTTCTCTCTTTGTAATTAATTTATATCCTTTTTTTCAATATATTAAATGATGGGTATTTTTAAAAGCTTATATTTTTATTTTCAAAAGATAAAGTTGTTAAATATAATTAATGACATTTATTAGTATCTGATATTTTGTCTAAAAATGTCTTATAATTTAAAATGGAGAGAATAATATTTTGAAAGACCTTATTATTATTTATATATTTAGGTCAGGTTTTATTATCATTTTTTAAAAATAAAAAGTAAATGGTCCATTTTCTGCTTGGAGAACTTTTGTTGATATTTATTTCTTTCTACTGAAAAAAAATACTCCTTCTATTTAAAAATATAAGATATTTTTTATAGTTATTAAAAAATATAAGTCATTTTAGTCTTTTGAGGTGTAATTATTATATTTTAAAAAAAAATGCTCCTATTGATAGTAAGTTTATATTTATTATAAGGTGTTTAATAGGAATAAATATAAAAATATAGAGTTAATTAAAAAGTAAATATTTATTTTATTGAAAATAAAATTTAATTAAAAATATTTTATATTTTTTAAGGGTGAGAGGATAAATGAATTATTTACTTATTTAATGCTTTTTGTGTGTTTATTACTGTGTTGCGTCGTACTCCTTGGTGTTGACGGGAGAGGCTCCCCTTCGCACGCGCCTACGCAGCGTAAGTCAATGTGAAACATATAAGAAAAATACAGTTTCATCAGTTAATAACCAAATTTTTTATGGCCGTCCATAACCCTCATTTTGAAGATAGGAAAATGGAACTGAAATTTTTTTAATGAATTTAATTTAATTTTGTTAAAAAAAAATTGGATGATTGGAGTTGAAATTTTTTTTATGGATTCTTTACAAATATTTTTTTATTAGAGGCAATCTTATTAGAAGCATGATTGAGTATTAAATATAGATATCTCTCTCAATGGATATTTGAACTAGGAATATAATTTTAATATAGATAAAATGTAAAGAAAAAGAGTAATAAAATTAATTAGAATTTTAAACAACAATTCTTCTTCATTTTTAAAATCAAACTTATTTAAATTTCTCATCCCACCTTTATTCCTCCCATCACCAAGGGGCAAAGTTAATATGAGTTAAATATTAATTAATTATTATTACTTAATAATTTTACAACCAATGGTAGTGATTACAATATAAAATAAAATAGTATCGGCCTTTTAGCTAAAATCAAGTGCAGAGTCATGATTTTATGTTTTACAAATCCCTAAATAATAATATCATAAAATCTAAAAATAACCAACTAATAACTACTTTTATTATTGTTATAACCTGGCATAAAATAATATTTTTTTTCTATAAAATATATAAATTATTTTAAATTTACTTGTTTTTTAATTTTGAACAAAAGTACCCTAACTTTATAATTTATTACCTTTATGTGTTAACATATAAGCAAAAAATTAATTTTTAAATTTTATTATCATGTATAGACTAAAATTTTTAAAATAAAAAAATTCAATGAAATTCATATCTACATCTTTTTACAATTTTTTAAATTTAATTTTTAATTTTGTTATGATTTTCACGCATTATTTTTATTATAGGATCATTATTGTCTTTTAAGACATTTGAGATCTACTGTACTCACATGATGGAATTACCTCTCTCGATCTCAAATTATAAAATATTTTTAAAAAATTTGTCATCTCAAAAAATAAGACATTTTGAGAAAATTAAAATTTTATTAAGTAGGCTTATTCTAATATTATCTTTTATCTTTTTATTTAATACTAATTAAGTGTATATTTAAAGTTATTAAATGAATGATATTTTTGAAAGTTTATATTTTTATTTTTAAAAATAAGTTTGTTTAGTGTACTTAATTAGGTTTATTGATATGTGAGATTTTATTTAAAAATATTTTTAATTTAAAATGAAAGAAGTAAATTGTAAATATAAATAGATTATAAATAATATAATATAATAATTCCTTCTGCAAGCACTAGAAAAGTAATTAGGTATTCAAATTTATATATTTAAAGTATTTCATGTTAGCTTCCGATCAAACTAAGACATGATGGTGTTCCCATAGTGAAATTGAATAAATTGGGTAAATTCATATAAATTAAATGCATTAAGTAGATAGATAGATTAATTTTGAGCCTATGGAGAAAAAAAAGAAAACAAAAATGACAATATCTTTGTCATGGCTCTCCTTTTTAGAATAAATCTTCTTACATCTCATTTTTCAAATACTCTAGGAGACATGTGCAAAAAGCCTCTATCATAGGGTTCTTCTTATACTCCAGATACTGGCTTCATTCTTTACATTTTAAATTATCCAATCCTATACAAAAAGATAAAAAAAAAAGTATGAAGCTTGAAAGGTTTGACTAATTTTAGCCAAACCTTCTTGCTTCCTTGCAGTCACACAAAATATGAATTTAGGAATTAAAAGATTTACAACCAAAAGGCATGCTTGTTGAAGTGGATTACTTCCTCATGTGATTATGAATTTAGTGTGTATTTAATTCCAAGCAGCTTTTTAAAAAAAATATTTGATTTTCTTATATGTGGGCTGACTACTTCCAAATTGTAGACCAAATATTAAAATTGATTTGATCCTTTTGAGTATTCAGAGTTTCATTAGCAAATTTGATAGAGAAGTTGCCATTTAAAAAAAAAAAGGCCCCCAATAAAGAACATCCTCATCTCTATGTGGGTTAGGGGTTGCACTAGAGCAATCTATCTATCTAATCATATTAGTGTGGAGGTGGTTTTTAGAAGATTAAAATTCCATCTTTCTATAGGCATGTAAAAATTTAAAACCCTTGCATGTAGGACAGACTAAACACTTTAAAGAGCGTATTTAACAAGCGATACAGGGAGGAGAGAACATTGGTCACACCAGAAGATATTTTGTCTCATTTACCTACTTTCCATCTGACGTGCATCATAAAAATAACATTTAGACTTAACGTAAAAAAATAATACATGGAATTGCATTAGGCATTCAAAATCCCTCCTTTGATATTTGTTTTAGTTTTCTTTCTTTCTTTTTAGATCTGTATATCATTTACATGATCTACTATCTAATCAACCTTTTATTCTATCATAGAGCTATTTCATTTTGTCATAATAAATAAATTAAAATTAAAATTAATATAACATAAGCTAATTTTTCAAAAAAAAAAAAAGAAAGAAAATTGGACCCTATGGTTTTGTCTTTTGATCTTAGATCCGCCTTATATTGAATTATTGATGCCCATGGATATATTATTTGCAGTTCATATCTCTAATCAGTCTCATCCTATATGATTAAAGAAGCGATTTCTTTACCCAAAAAAAAAAAAAAAGCAAGAAGAAGAAGAAGAAGAAGCAATTTCTTTTTGTCAATTATAAGTTATATAAATACACAAACACACACACACACATATATCAATTGTGATAGCTGAGTCCAAAGGACCGCACAAATAAAGTGGTCCTCATCTAGAAAGTATTTAAGTTTCAGGTCGTCGTCGCCTCAACTAATTTTTTTTTTTCACATGTGTCTTTTTATTACAAGTAATTATATTTGAGGCACAATCGTGCATTTG